CAATGTGGAATCACCAACTCAAACAACAGACAATGTGGAATCACCAACTCAAACAGCAGGCAATGTGGAATCACCGACTCAAACAACAGTCAATGAAGAACAAGCAACTCAAACAGCAGGCAATGTGGAACAAGCAGCTCAAACAGCAGGCAATGTGGAATCACCGACTCAAACAACAGTCAATGAAGAACAAGCAACTCAAACAGCAGGCAAAGTGGAATCACCAACTCAAACAGCACACAATGTGGAATCATCAACTCAAACAGCAGGCATGTGGAATCACCAACTCAAACAGCAGACAATGTGGAATCATCATCTCAAACAGCAGGCAATGTGGAATAACCAACTCAAACAGCAGGCAATGTGGAATCATCAACTCAAACAGCAGGCAATGTAGAACAAGCAACTTAAAACGCAGGCAATGTGGAATCATCAACTCAAACAGCAGGCAATGTAGAACAAGCAACTTAAAACGCAGGCAATGTGGAATCATCAACTCAAACAGCAGGCAATGTAGAACAAGCAACTTAAAACGCAGGCAATGTGGAATCATCAACTCAAACAGCAGGCAATGTAGAACAAGCAACTTAAAACGCAGGCAATGTGGAATCATCAACTCAAACAGCAGGCATTGTGGTACAAACAACTCAAACAGCAGGCAATGTGGAATCACCAGCTCAAACAGCTGGCAATGTGGAATCACCACCTCAAACATCAGGCAATGTGGAATCACCAACTCAAACAGCAGGAATGTGGAACAAGCAACTCAAACTGGAGGCAATGTGGAACAAGCAGTTCAAACAGCAGGCAATGTGGAATCACCAACTCGAACACCAGGCGATGTGGAATCACCAACTCAAACAGCAGGCAATGTGTAATCACCAACTCAAACAGCAGGCAATGTGGAATCATCAACTTAAACAGCAGGCAATGTGGAACAAGCAACTCAAAACGCAGGTAGAATCATCAACTCAAACAGCAGGCAATGTGGAATCATCAACTTAAACAGCAGGCAATGTGGAACAAGCAACTCAAAACGCAGGCAATATGGAATGATCAACTCAAACAGCAGGCAATGTGGAACAAGCAGCTCAAACAGCAGGCAATGTGGAATCACCGACTCAAACAACAGGCAATGAAGAACAAGCAACTCAAACAGCAGGCAAAGTGGAATCACCAACTCAAACAGCACACAATGTGGAATCATCAACTCAAACAGCAGGCATTGTGGTACAAACAACTCAAACAGCAGGCAATGTGGAATCACCAGCTCAAACAGCTGGCAATGTGGAATCACCAACTCAAACAGCAGGCAATGTGCAATCAACAACTCAAACAGCAGGCAATGTGGAATCACCGACTCAAACAACAGGCAATGAAGAACAAGCAACTCAAACAGCAGGCAATGTGGAATCATCAACTCAAACAGCAGGCAATGTAGAACAAGCAACTTAAAACGCAGGCAATGTGGAATCATCAACTCAAACAGCAGGCAATGTAGAACAAGCAACTTAAAACGCAGGCAATGTGGAATCATCAACTCAAACAGCAGGCAATGTGGAATCACCGACTCAAACAACAGGCAATGAAGAACAAGCAACTCAAACAGCAGGCAATGTGGAATCACCATCTGAAACAGCAGGCAATGTGGAACAAGCAACTCAAACACCGGGCAATGTGGAATCATCATCTCAAACAGCAGGCAATGTGGAATCACCAACCAACTGGAGGCAATATGGAACAAGCAACTCAAACAGAAAGCAATGTGGAATCACCGACTCAAACAGCAGGCACTGTAGAACAAGCAACTCAAACAGCAGGCAATATGGTACAAACAACTCAAACAGCAGGCAATGTGGAATCATCAACTTAAACAGCAGCCAATGTGGAACAAGCAGCTCAAACAGCAAGCAATGGGGAATCACCAACTCAAACCGCAGGCAATGTGGAATCTCCAACTCAAACGGCAGGCAATGTGGAATAACCAACTCAAACAGCAGGTAATGTGGACCTAGCAACTCAAACTGGAGCCAATGTGGAACGAGCAGCTCAAACAGCAGGCAACGTGGAATCACCAACACAAACAGCAGGCAATGTGGAATCACCAACTCAAACAGCAGGCAATGTGGAATCACCATCTCAAACAGCAGGCAATGTGGAATCACCAACTCAAACGGCAGGCACTGTGAAATCACCAACTCAAACAGCAAGCAATGTGGAATCACCAATTCAAACAGCAGGCAATGTGGAATCATCAACTCAAACAGCAGGCAATGTAGAACAAGCAACTTAAAACGCAGGCAATGTGGAATCATCAACTCAAACAGCAGGCAATGTGGAATCAACAACTCATACAGCAGGCAATTTGGAATCACCAACTAAAACAGCAGGCAATGTGGAATCACCAACTCAAACAGCAGGCAATGTGGAATTACCAACTCAAACAGCAGGCAATCTGGAATCAACAACTCATACAGCAGTCAATTCGGAATCACCAACTA